CCGCACCTTAATTGAGGAAAAAAACATCGATTTACGATCTAACGAAGAAATCACACCCAATCAAGAGATCTAATAAATATGAATTTCTAGTCTTCAATCTAATTTAATATGCATAAAGAAACATTAATTAAATCAATAAATATTTGAATCATGAGCTCTAAAATTCAAACTAACATGTTATCGAATTGATGTATTATTTTTTTTTCTATTTATTAATTAACAAAATAATTGAACAAAAAAAACATCGCAAACGCGAAATACATGAAAAGAATTAAAGTGCCGCGTGTTTAACACACACAAACGCTGTTTGCATTTAACCGCAAACGTCGTTTTGAGATAAACGTTGTTACATGGCAATACTGACAGATTGGTGCAATTTCGCGGATCTTTCGCGATAGGGTGCATCCATTGGATTGGTGCGCTACGCTTCGCTCCGATATCGCAACGATGTACCGCATTCTTGTGCGCCACGTTACGCGCTACGCGTTAATCTCGTTCTCCACCCGCTTGCCCCCATTGAGCGATGAGATATCCCGGTAGGGGTAGTTGGGAGGATAGAAAGGGGGAATAAGCGCAGCTACCGTAACGCGCATAGCTGGCCATCCACGGTGTTACCACTACCCCCAACTACGAGTCGGCAGCGCCTTAGGATGGAGGAAAGAGGCCGGGGGCAGATACACTATAGATTCTACCAACCGCGCGCACACAGCCGAACGATCTGTCGGCGGCGTTAACAAAGACGACGAGGACGAGGACGTCGGCAAGGACAACGTTGGGAGTCGGCGGCGGTGGTGGCTCTGTAGTGGAGGCAGCGGCGACAGTGGTGGTGGTATTGGCGGCAGTGGCGGGCAAAGCACATCTCGGCGTGGGTGTCGGGAGAAAGGAGGCGGCGACTAGGCTCAAAAAGAGGCGTGGTATGCGTAGCGGGATTCGCCGCCACGTACAAACGAGATGAGGCGCCTCCGCAACGACGGTGAGATGAAGAGGTGACGGGAGAACGGCTGAAGGGGTGGGAGAACAGAGAGCGGGAGAACGAGAACAAGAGCGATAGGAAACAAGAGGAGGGAAGGAGAGGCTCGATAGCGGTCGCCTGATGGAACAGAGGGAGACGGAGCACATACCGGTAACAACGGCAAAAGAGAGAGGGATTGCGTCGGAACGATAGGGAACGAGAAAGGGTGCGAGCAGGACGCAAGAGAAGAACAGTAGCGGGGCGCGAAAGTGGTGCGGCGCGCGGGCGCCGAAGCGCCAGCCGCCGCCGTCGCCGCTGCCGCTGCCGCTGCCGCCGCCACCGCCAGGCAGCGCCTTCCGAATCTCATCCCGGTCGGTCCTCGGGGGCTTCAGTCAGTCAGCCGACGCTCCGAGACGCGGTGATTATTTCCATTGTATGCTCGCCGTTCTCTTCGAAGGGGAAGGGGGAGGTTTCCCACCGCCCTCTCGCGTTACCTCGCTCCCTCTTCCGTATCTCTCTTTCTCTCGCGCTGACCTCTCCGCTCCCGCTCCCCCGTTTCGCCGCACGTTATGCCGGAGCAGCCTCCGTGCGCCTCTTTCTCGCCCCCACTGATACGGACCGACTGACGCACCGCGAGGGCCGCTCAAGCCTCTCCGTCGTGTTGCAGAGCGCCTCGTAGCTCGCGGCAGTGATACGGAGTGAAGCGGAGCATCGCGCCGTTATCGTGATCAAGCTACCCGTTACATTTGTTCTCCATGCGATTCGGCGACCGGATATCTCCGCTCGTTTGCTCGTCCGCGCGCGTGCATCGTCTATCCGTGATTGGTGTTGAAGTGCGCGACCGGTACTGACGACGACGCAGCCGGGTTACGAAGTAGCGTGAAGGAATCGGTGCAACTTGTCTTGGTGAACGCGATTCTGGTCGTGCGATCGTGTCTGTCCGCGTGCGAGTGTTGGAGTTATCGAGCTCGCTTGTTGTGAGTTACCGAGTGTTGAGAGAAACCGGTTGGTTCCGAGAGAGCGGGTCTGATCGTCGCGTTAGCTGTCGATCTCTTTGAATTGAATTTGTGAGTGGCGGTTCTACTCATTGTGCGGAGGTGCGTTCTTTTGATACGTGACAAGTGGTTCCGTCGATGGCAACGGGGTAGTCCAGGCTACCAGCGCGCGGCCAGGATGATATGAGCACGCTTGGCAGGTGAGTGAACTGAGCTAGCGTGTGCCTGCAGAATCGAACCACGTGGTTCTCTTGATGCACGATGCGGGGATCGAGAACCGGCGGTGAAATTATATCGCAACGTTTACGTAATCACACATGCATATAACTAATTACTCGAGAGAGAGTTAATTTTAATTATTATTTTATTTTTTTATTTTTTATCTGTAAGTATTTGGAATTTATATATGTATAATTCTCTTGAACGCGCAAACGCAAAGTTACAAAATCATATAATTTATAAAAATCTCTACTAAAGTGACATTAGGATAAAATGTGTTACAGTTAAAATCATATAATCTGTAAAAATCAAATCGATTTTAATTAATCCAGTCTGTCAATACGATCTAAAACACTTTTCTATGACACTTACATATATTGTTCGAATTATATAGGTGTTGAAAAAAATGTCAAAAAATTACGATTATATAAGTACGAGAATATTGTGATAAATTTAATCCGCGGCATTGTTAATACCGATCCGAGATGACTTAGGTGGCGCGTGCAACGTGCGAAACGGCACGCGTGCGTGCTCGTGTAACGTGAATTACGATCTGGTATGAGCGAATGATACGCGTGTCTATCGGTACGACAACGTAAGGCTTCGTTGGTCACAGCATCCGCGTCAGGACCGAGCCAGCCGCCGACGCGACTCGAAACACGGAATTACGCTTACACGAGCCTACAATGATCACGCGTAAAGAGTTCTCGCCGGCGTGTAATTGGAGTCACGTCGCGACATTGTATCTCGCGATAGCGCGAGAACGATCAGAGTGTGTGCGTAACGTATGTGTCGACTTACGTGGATGCGTGCGTGCGTGCGTGAGTCGTGTTCAGGCGGCCGGGTCGCAGGCCTGTACACACACGGGGCCATGTGTTCGGTGCGCGAAGAGGAGAGCCGGTTCAAATCGGAAGGTTGACGAGAGAAAGAGAGAAGGGAGCGTGCTCTTTACGCATCTGACCCAGTGACCCTCCCCGTTGCCTCTTTCCCCTCGGCGTCATGCTTCTCTCTATGGGGTTCCGTCTACTCTCTCTCTGCAGGCTTCCCTCTATCGCGGTATATCCCTCTACACGACCCCTCTTGAAATCCGACGACAAATTCCTTCTTCCTTCGCGCGAACGATGCGAGAGAAAGAGCGACCACTTGATGCCCAGCTCGATCAATTAAAGCCGAAAGTTTTTGTCGATTAGGCGTGTGTATAAAGTGGATTTCGTGAAAAATGATGTGGCCGGGAAGGGCGTCTTAATCTGCAATAATATTTACGAAAATTGTTTCTAGTTATGGGTAAACCCGAATGATATAATAAGACATTTTAAATGAACTGTGTAATTGCTCTATCACTTATTACTTCATCACGGTAAAATTCCTTACTTACGTAGCATTAAAACGAAACATGATTTTGCAGTTTTTATCTCAACAGCAGAAAGTTTCATCAATCAACAGCTATCTAAAGCAAATGCAATTAGGGATTTCGTTTGTAAATACTTCCGCAATGTCTCGTTTAATCGATGTTCCTAGCATAAATAATCCTTCCAAGTACGACTCGAATTACGTGCCGGGTTGCCGAGTACGCGTTCACGTGGTAAAAATATCGAATTACCTCAGGCATCGTGATAATAAGCGCGAGCATACGGATTCCCGAAGGATACGCCCGGGATTGACACGTAGAAGACTACATGCATGCACGCATTTGCGTAACAAGAGCGCGTATCACGGAACGGTACGGAATAAAGAGACGGCGTTATCGAATTAACGCGCGAATGTTCGACGCTCGAAGAGTGTATCCTCTTTATTTTTCACCGATTTCCCTGGAGCATGGCGGTCGTTTCGCATTGGTTTTGGAAACGTGCGATTTTACAGACGAAATTATGATTTGCAGCATTTGCCGGACACGTGATCGATTTTTTACTTTGATTACCGAAGCTATTTAAATTAACCGACAGCGCTAAAAAACGAGCGAAAGCTGACTAAATTGCGAGAGCAAATTAAAATATATAATTGATGTTTAACGGTGAGATTTTGGGGGAGATTACCAACAAAATTAACGTCATGAATATCTTTTTTCGTGAACGTTTAAAGAAATTTTCTTTTTTTCTCTAACACGATTATATAAGAGTGTAAAAATTATATTATTTATTGCATATAATTCTACTAAAGAATTTAGCTATAATGGGCTATATCCCTCCAAGTAAATGAAGCATTAAAAATATTGTGTACTTGTTAAATTTAAAATCCATTCATCGGCTTCATAGAATCCCGCGTCGTTGAAGAGATATAATTAAAGCAAAGATACAGTATATAACATGCATAAAAGCGCTTTGTATAACTAAAGATGCAGCGCGGGTTATATTACATATTATATTATATTTCCGTTATAATAAATTATTTTGAACGAGGTTACATCTCTCCGTTTCCCTCCCCTCTCATCTATAAATACAATATGCATTACATCGCATAAAGATATTGTCCGTATAACAATGCGTGCAATGTAATCTGTCTGCGGTATTTTATTAAAGCCAATTGCTTTCTAAGTATAAATCCAGTCGCTTGCTTAACGTGTTAGCGTGTGTGACTCGAAATACCGGCACGATCTCGGCTGATATACGTGTACACGTATGCAGACAACCCTATAATTGCGCGTGACACCGCTCGCTACGAAATGAATTCGGGTGCGCATACATAAAGTCGACAATGGAGACATACTGCGCGTTTTGATTGCGTCATTAAACTGCGCGTTAGCGTGCGAGACAAAGCACGATTCTAAAGTGTCAAAACATGAGACGGTCAAGTTCCGACATTCCGACTCATTGGCGAAAAAGAGTGATAGCCTGATTCGCGCGTGTAGCGTTATATCGAATAAGAGTGTAAGTAGCCGGCGTGTGTTGCGAAAACTTTCTAACAATATAAACGATACTGATAAAACTGATAATTGCGGCGCATGGTTTCAAATCTCATCTAAGTGCAAACAGACTAATTATCTAGTCGTACATTATCGGGAATATATCATATATATATATATATATGTATTTTTCCGTTAGTCGTAATATTTTTCACCCAAAGTATTAGGATGTATAAAAAAACTGAAGTGTTAATAATATGGGGCTTAAGATAAATGGGGTGACAAAAATACTTTTTATTTTTAAACATACATATAAATTATAAATGGACCTACATATGAGTTATATCGCTTTAATAATGCGTGTCTTTATAATCGCAAACGATATCGTACTTGACTTTGACCGATCTAACAAACGACAGGATGTGAAATGCATTCGCGTTAGAAAAAGAAAATCTTTACTCATCAGCGTGATTGCATATCCGCTAAGGTCAGTTAACGGTCGGCATCAACAAGTCATTAAAATGATAATATGAAAGTAAATACGAATGCTTTCTTTTTGAATTCCTTTGCGTGCCTTGGAATTCTTTACATTATTTCTATGTGACGTTTACCGCCGGGAAGTATTAGAATCCGAGATGATTTCGAAAAATCTCGGCTCATTATCTAACATACTGGAATGCATTTTTAATCATCGATAAACAACCATAACAAGACGTATGACGAAACAAGATATGATGAGTTAGATCGGTAATTATGAATTATTAATTAATGCAAACGCGAACATAATCGCGTACACAATCGTTTACAGAAATATTACGAGTCTTTAATTCCTAGATATGTAAATTCGTTATAAAATTTGATAGATAACAGTGGATGATAAGCGTCGGATATTTGACTCTAACAGCTCTCTCTAAATTTCTTCAATGAGATACGATCTCATAACATTATGTTAATCTTGAATTTGATCAACGATAGTTATATTATATACTGCGATATTTCCATTTGTACAATTACTTTCAACAAGTTTATGCGAAAATAGCATACTACAATTTTTGTTCATTGATAATTTTGTATATTCTTTTTGTATATTCTTTTTTTTTTATCAGAGTCATTTATTGCATATATAAATTTATAAATATTAATATACAATATTGTTTTCTGGTTCTTTTTTCAAAATATTTCTATATATCGATATTTTGTGCTAATCTTTAGGATTATGGCAACAAAAACTGCCAGATTGTAAAACAAGCTGACACGGGAATAGATGATAGTAAATTATCTTGTTTTAGTTATAATGATACAATAATGTCCGGTTATACTAACATTACGATACTTAGTGATAAGATCCTCTTCAAAGTCGGACAGCGCACAAGTACGTGACACGTGAACTTTTTTAAACAATCCAAATAGAAAAAGATATAATCGCATATCCTGCAGTCATTACGATCGCGCACGTCTTCTTTGGAATGTGGTAAAAATGAGTGTAAATTTTATTAGAGCCGCTCTGTGTTTATTAGCGTTTTGCGATTATACTTGCTAATCGCGATACAGCATTTCGTAACAGGAAATTACGGTGACAAATAGACAGTGACGTATAATAATGCACAATACGGTCCGTACAAGAGACAAACAGAGATGCAAAATATATTATCCGCTGATCGGGCAGGTAAAGAGTAAAGGCGAGTTATATAAGTTATCGATTATGGATATCAGTTCCTCTGATTGCAGATTTTCCGTGTGGTTTTTTCCTTATTGTGTGTGTGTGTGTTATTTTAAGCGCGAATAAAATATTATTAAATATATACGTTAAATATTAACTTTGTTTAGAGAGAGCAGTAAAAACCCCAGAAATCCGTTGAAATTTTGTCTGTTTATCGGCATGTTATAATCTATAGAAATTCTATTATAATGAAGGAGAATATCGAAATTGCTTCTTACTATCGTAAGAATATTTTTCTATGAAGAGAGAGAGAGAGAGAGAGAGAGAGAGAGAGACAAAATTGTAAAGTTGACATTTTTTGATAAACATGTTTTATTACGAATATAAAAAATATGCAAGAAAAAATATAATAAAAAAGAACAGAGATCTCATTACTGCATCAAGGTTGGTTTCCACCCCGAGAAAGCCGAGTTCTCGAGTTC